CAAGGTCATGTTTTGTGGATAGTCTTGGTTCGCATTGCTTGTGTTGGTTTCACTTGGTTCCTCTTAGGTGATTCGACTGAGACATGCCGGTTCGGATCGCTGGATCAGAATAGACAACCTCTGATTCGGATTCGTTCCATTTCATGGTCAAACAGCCTTGAAAAAAACATCAACAAACTCACCCAGCCAAATGTGCACCTCCAATGCACCAACAAGTATGATTGAGCAGGGTATTGTATCATTAAGCTGCCTGCCAATGCGGGCTCGAGCTGGTGGCCGGCGGCATGCCGAAGGCTGTAAATATCAGCTTGACTTCTCCCGGGGCCCCCGCAGAGCCAATACAAAACAAACAAGGCATCACAAGGCACTCCACACTCCACACTGTCAACATCTCCCCGGCAAAAACATCAAACACATACTTTACTTCGAGTGATCCCCACCACGACATTTCAATCTGGCAAATGTTCTGGCATGTGCAGGCATTCTTTCTGGCATATCTTCTGGAATTCTTTCTCACATTCTGTCTGGCGGTCTATCTGCCATATCTTCTGACTCGCGGTTGAGGCCCGGCGCACTGCCGGCCGGAGCTCGCGGTTGAGGTCCGGCGGGAAACACTGCCAGCCGGAGCTGGTGGTTGACGAGGAGAGGAGAGGAGAGGAGAGGAGAGGAGCAAGGCAGCTGACATAAAATCTACAACAACCCTCACCTGACAGGTGGGAAAAAAAAACTTGCAACAGTGGCCCAAGGCCCACCCCCCAAACATCACAAGGTCCCCTGCAACATCTGCCCCCGCAAGGATTCCACCTGCGTTGGCCTTCTGTTTCACCTCCACTGGCGACTGGAACCACTCGAGCGCCGCCGCGCGCAGCTCTGCCACCGTGGACGAGGGAATCCCACTGGAGGTGATCACCGCGAATCTGGGTGCAGCAGGTCCAGGTGAACCCACCGAGGGTGGATTGAAATGGATTGGAAAGAATCGGGAAGAGAACAGGGAACATATATATAGATATCAATAGATCATAATAGAATGTTCAATATACAGTAGAACATACATGATCATACTATAATAATACCATGATATACTATGCATGTACGGTAACTATTTTATAAATGACTAGGAAACGCAAACAGTGTTTGATACATCCATACCATTCTTGTCTATTCCATGCACCGCCCTCGTTTCGTGCAGTTCCTGGGTTGATGCCGCCATCGTCCATCCCTCGAAACGTCCGCAACTCCGAGATCGACGTTTCTGACGAACATCGCAGTGGATTCGCTCTCTTTCGGACGAACATCGCAGGTGGACATCGCGTGACATCGTCACGTCACCTTGACAAACCATGTCACAATTCTCGCCACCGATCGCCCCCATGCGAGTCCCCATGCGCCAAAGATCGACGAGTCCGGCTTGAACACTCTTCATGTTCCACTGGGGATCTGGGCCATCCACCTGGTGGACCCAAATCGGCACACCAACGGCATTCTTTCGGCCAAACGTTCACCGAAAAAAACGTCAGCTCTGCCGCGCCACGGCTGGGGTTTCCATCGTTTCCCTCGCCGTCGCTGAGCCACCCGGTGTCCGCAAAGGCGTCCGAAAGAGCTTGTGCCACCTTCAGTTCCCCTGGCCACGGCGGGGCCCACCCCTGGGGCCTCTTCGCCTACACAGCCCAAACTGGAATGGGTCCATGTGGCCAAGGTCGGCATGGCATCCACCCAAAGCGAGCCTATCGACACCTTTTCCACACGTGGACCGAAGTAACGCTGCACCGGAATTCCTATCACCTTTCAACAGCTGTCAAAACGTAATAAACGACTTGAAGAGTGATTGGGGGCAACCGGGAAACCCCCTTTTTTTTGGTCATCAGGATCCCAGCAAAAACGGGAAAAGATAGATGGCCGCCATGCGGTGCTGGCGTTGGGCAACACCCCCCTCACCCAAAACATCCAAAATCAAAGGGCTCTTGGTCGTGCTTGGTTGGATTCCTGCTTTAATTCGATAACAGTCCTTCCATTCGCCGGGTCCTGCTTGCCGGGGACCCGCCTCCGGCCAAATCCACGACTGAGATCCTGGTGAACATGGCGATGAACAGCGAGCGGGCCGGCGGACGGACGAAGGTGAGCGGCTGGTGCCGCATTCGTTCTTCCAATTTGGAGGGGCCAGGCCAGGAACATACACAACACACATGCAAAGTCAAAGGCCCACTGTGTTTGCGTAAGACTTGCGAACATACAACATGATGACTACAGAACAGTCACAACTTTGAGGAAGGGATGTCAAAACCAATGGAATGTAGCCTCCTAAATCCTCCTCAGGAATATCAATTTTATATCCAACAAGGACTTGGATCCTGGCACCCCGCCCCAACACGGTCCTACTGCTCATGGTGCGTGCAAAGCCACGCCAGGCCCAATGCCTCCAAGCGAAGCAACTAAAAGTTAAGTCGTGGAGTCTAACAACTGAAAGAAATCATCACATGCCTGAAGCCCTTCCTCTTGGAAGGAGAGAAACCCTGTGCAACACCTGCCAATCCTCACCTATACCAAGTCTCTCAGAAACCACTTGCAGAACCCTTGAAGAAAGTTAAGTCAGCGGAGCAGAAAAGAGTTTTCCACCAAGAAACTAGTCCGAAAATATATAATCTGAGTGTTCACCTCGCAGTATAGCCAACCAACAAGGCGTTTGGGGACATGTTCTGTTGAGACAAGGTCTGGCATCTCTGAACAGTCAAGCGTTGAGTCTTGCAAAGGGGCAACCCCACGTACTTTCAATAGCACTGGACCTTAGTAAGCCTTAGTATATAAGTGATCGGTGCTGTAAAAGCATCTCAACAAAAGCCACGAAAAGCAACTGAACTCCAATCACTTTATACATTATTGATGTCATGGATTGTACTATCTATACAACATCTGCGCGCACCATTGCACATCAAAAACACGTCGAGCAAGACCATCGTCACGGCCTTGACGGGGTTCAAGAAGGCGAGCATCGGGACAAGAAACCCCTTACGTAAGCTCGACTGGGTATGGGAAGGGAGTTGTAGAGTTATGTATATAGTTATCTATGCCGCCTGGTTCCTAACAATGGCCTGTTGATACCTTCATGAGTTTGAAGAATTGCGGTGGGGGTGGTGTTTTCAGAAGCCGTTGCCACCCGCCAGCCTCCCAAGAGCCCAGGGAGCTCGGGAAGCAATCCGCATGCGTCTTTGCGGCCCAAATTCTTCGGCTCGGCCACCAAGTGTTGCAAACTTAGGTCTACGTCTACAACTAGGAGCGGGTGGTCCATGCCAGCGACCACAAGGTAGCCTTGTGAAAGTGCCCCAGCCGGGGATCCAAAAACAGGTGGGGATCAAAATGCTGGGTCTTTCAGTGTGACTCTTGTGTCGGTATTCTTGCGAGCGACATTGTGTCGGTTCAATGTCTCCTGCGCTTGGCATCACTGAGGTCGGGTTGGTCAGGTCCTCCACGTCCACGGTCTGATAACCTGACCACCTGTGGTAAATGATTGTGCAGTGAGCTGATAGATGGCCACGGTGCGAGCAAAAGGGCCAGGATGCGCATGTGGACGTTGTCCTGGCCCAACATCTACAGTAGTATTTGTTAAAGCACTGCCTTAAACAAAGTTAATATGAATGCAACTTACCGATGGGCCCGTGTGATTTTCTTGGTGAGCATCCGAAAAAGTGATCCATGAGGCCTTCGCATGTCGTCTGGGCAACTGCCGTCATATTTTTAGCAGGGGTTCTAGGTAGCATCGCTTTGAAACATACAGTGCCGCAGTGGTCCAATCATAGGCCTAGCTTTGGACCCACACGGCAATGATCAGGTACAAAGGGCAGGATTTCTGCGACATTTCTACACACCTATTTCAACATCTTGCATGCTGAGCACTCCCGAGCTCGCTGATAGTGACATCAGGTGCATAGTTAGCGATAATTAGCGAACATGTTACTCAAAAGGAGACTTTAAACAAGTTATAAAGCGAACATTTCCGACTCGAATGAATGTGACAACTCACCGACCTCTAGGAGGTGCATGCACCCAATCTCCAAAATGAGTTCCAAGACAAACGCACCTGATCGCCTGATAGTGTTCCTGCTGGCTTTCTGCAGTTGTGTGCCACCCCAAAAGTGTTCATGAATGTGATTATCCAATCATCCATTGGTCCATGATCCATTTCTACCACTCGCAGACCATCATCTGAGCCCGCCGACCGAAGATGACTAAGGGCACCTGAGGAACGCTCCGAGAGGCCCTGGACCGGTACCATCAACAAGCTCCAAACGACACAAACGTGGACATACCAAGCTCCTGGTACCATCAATGGCTACAGCGGCTAAACGTGAACACTCGGTTGAACACCCAATCACCACCCTCAAAAACACCCAGCTGTCTGCTTCAAGGCTTGACCAAAAAAGGTGGACTGCGTTTGGGTCCAACGAATCCAAACGATGCATCCAATCTTAAGATTGATCTCAAAGCGGATTCCGGAATGTTCGAACGATGAAATCTCTTGGGATAGCTTCAAACATGTTCAAACAAGTCATAGAGAACAAACAAACATGAAACAAACACTTGCAACAAGAGTGCTGGCAATAGGCCAGATCCCGATCTCTGGCATTCGCTGCCTGAGTGCATGAGCTTCCCCTCATGCAGCACGTCATTCCTTACTCACCCTGGAATCATCATGGAAGTGGATGAGACCATCTGTTTGTAGAGGAAAAATGGTAATCCAGTGGCCATATGATGATTCCAGGGATCATATCGAATTCCTCAGGCCAAACTACATGGACACTTGCGGAGGCTGTCAATCTGACATGTCTTACTCATACCAAATCATACCGTACCCCAGTATAATATATAAGTAGCATGACAGGTATATATATACCCAGTGGGCAGTTCTGGCTGCATCGGGAGACCACACCAAGAAGCCCTTACATTGCCTTACATCCAAGTCCCTTTTTGTTTTGGACGAGTCTTTGTACTCCAAACGATGCCCCTGCGGCCCCTGCGGGGAACATGTTGATGATGCCCCGGTCAGCATGCTCTGCATATGAATTCGCACGCAGCCTGGGCGATGGAGACAGCGTTGAGTGTGAAACGGGCAACGTGACCCTCCCCGAGACGGTTCGGTCACTGGGCCGAACGTGTTCTCCTTCCATTCCGACCGGTAGGAACCCTAAACCCTAAGAAAGAACACAAGGGAGAAAAGATGAGAAAAAGGAAGGACACAACAATCCATCGCCTATAGCAATCCATTGGATAGCAATCCATTGGATTCTCTCGCCACAAGAAAAAGCACAGCTCCGCTGGTGGCAGTTTCCACTCCTACCAAACAAGCAAAAGCATGTGCCCAAAGCCAATGGAAAAACCATCTCGGTCAAGGTCTCCTGAGCTTGGGAATTCACACATCTATAGATTCTGTTGGACTCGGTGGGAGCAGCTTGAAATAGTTACAGCATGTTACAACTGCCCCACCCAGGATTCCACCGATCACAAAAGTGTTCTTTTCAAAGTTGGTCATTCGTTGCTCGTTTTCTTTGGTCAGTGGATGCCGGTTGAGCCGGTGTGACTCGGATGGATTCGAACAGGATTGACCGGATGTGCTGCTCAATTCAGGTCCGACAATGGCATCTGTTTTGTGGTAGACCGTGGTCGGTCATGGCGCCGTGTCTCCGAAACAAAACTCGTGCAATTTCACATGATGAGCAACGTTCAGGCTTCAATTAGTATAATTCAACAATCGCAGTTCTTCATACTGATATATATATATATCATATATTATATATATATTCTTTCTAGAGCCGAGGACGAGATCAAAGCCCAGTCAGTCTCATAGTCGAACTCTTCAGGTTCAAGATTGAAATTACATGAAGTTATATACAACTTTCATCCACTTTATACCTTGCACGACCTTCTCATCAGTCGGGTTGCACTTCTTAGCTAGTCCAGCCTGTGCTCCCAGTCTTCCCGACCCCGCCCTTCTTTACCACTCGTCTGAGGCTGTGGCGCTCGTTGGGCGTCCAGCTGCAAAAAACATTGGGGATTCTCCTGCAGTTCACCACCCTGGCAAACCCTTGCCGCAGTAGAAGGTTTTTTTGGCGACGGCTACACACTTTGAAGCGAACCCACTATAGTCACTATAGTGTAACGATCAAACGTGAGCCATCCAACTGTTGACAGTACAACTGACACCCAAGCTTGTTTGAGAAGGCCCCTATGTACAAGTCAGTAAGACTGGTCCAGGTATAGACTATATATAGATAGAAAACAAACTCCAATCATTTCCATATATCATCACATTGAATTCACTCTTCTATAAGATCAATTGCTGGGTCACCCAAACAATTCTTAAGTGAGGTCGGTGTAATCAGCCAGTGTCCTGCGCCAAAGCTTGAAGACTCCTTTCGACTTGTGAACGAAGCAGTTGTAGCCTGGCACGAATGCAGGGCTACCACCGAGAGGTGCATTGCTTGCCATGCTGATCCCAAGGGGGCAACATTTTCTTGCATAGGAGTCAAGGAGTCGCGACAAAATCCTGTTGATGAAAATCGTCACTGTTCCAAATCCTCCATGACAGCGACTTTGCGGAACCAATTATTCGGCCTGTGATGCAGGGCGGCACCTGTGTCTCTGGGTGCTTTTGGGCACCCACAAAATACCAACAACTAAAGCCCTAGCTGCCCACCCAAGGAAAGAAAGCAAGCCACCTTCCCAATTGAATTTGCAAAGGGATACCCTATAGATCCCTACAGACCGTTGGTAGGTGTTGGTAGGAAAGGTGAATCAACCACCACAACAAAAGCCGTTTTTTGCTCAGGATTCTATGAGGGATCACCTACAACAGTCGATGCCATCCATGACAGTTATATTGATAAGTTCAACCAAATAAAAAAGGGTTCTTCTCTTCTCCCCTGTTCCCCTGTTCCACCCCCAAACGCACACTAAGTATAAAGAACGTGGCGCAGCCGACCACTTCTCAAGGGTCTGAATGCCTCGGCCGTGAGCGCTCGAGACAAACTTCGGGCGAGCAGTCTAGGCCCAACGGTCCGAAGCCAGGCCGTGCGCGTTCGGACTGTTCCGAGCTGGAGCCGCTTGACGCAAGCAGGACTGCACACGCGAACGGTTGGGAACTCATCCGGTGGGGCGAAGCTTGGGGTGATGGTGTCCCGCCTGAGGTTTCATGGCAAAGTTACAGCCTGGACCGAAAACCACGGCGCCCGGTGTAGCTTGGGGTGCCAAGGTAGAAACGAAAGGGTATGCCTCGTGCTCTCCATGGTTGGCCCCACGGTTGTCCCAACACAAATAAATAAGTAAATGTCCATCCACCCAAGCACAAAGGAGGCTCAAAACAAAGGGAAACAACTATACAAACTACACGACGGGTAGGTTGCGCAAAATCTATCATTATATATCTTTTATGCAATCAGTGCGACTCCATGCTGACCTGACTTCGAGTTTTAGGATTGCCGTGGGGTAAGGAACCCAATGGTCTCAACCGCTCCAACGCAACCCTTGCAACTCACCCCCTGGCACGGGGCATCTTCCCAGGTATCCACCTTGCGCCTTGGTCATGGGCCTTCACACGTCAGGCGGCATGTATTGGTCCATCAATAAGTCATGGCATCCCATGCGACCGGGTGACAATTGTGCGGCCTTGGCATCGGAGATCCGTCGAACCATTCACGTCCGCAGGGGTGAGACCAAGACCAAACGAAAACCGTCAAGAGGTGGGACACAAAGTCCTTCAGCGTCTTTTACATGACCAAATATGACCATGTCTTGTTTGTTTTTAAGAAGCCTGGTAGTCCGGGAGCTTTGGGGATATAGAGAAATTGTTTGCAATTGTTTAAAATTGATTTGGCAAATGTTTTAATTGTTTGCAAATTGTTCAAAATGGTTGTAGCAATTGTTTTAATTGTTTTGGAAATTGTTGAAAATTACTCAAAATTGTTGTAGCAATTGTTTCAATTGTTATAGAATTTGTTGAAAACTGCTCAAAATTGTTGTAGCAATTGTTTCAATTGTTTCCAAAATTGTTGAAAATTTGCAGCAATTGTTTCAATTGTTTTGGGACTTGTTGAAAATCTTTCAACATGTTTTTCAATTTACTAACAGTCATTTTAAAAGCTTTTTTTTATTTTTGCCATTGTTTGAAATTGTTTTTTTTGGCACTGCTTCCAACTTTAAACGAGTGCTGCAGTGCTGCATCTTGTTCTAGCGCTGGTATCAATATGTGAAACACTTTTCTCCGCAATTATGTCGAAGCGGTAGCCTTTTCTGCTACTTCCTTCAAGATAGTATTGGCGCAAGCGCTGACTTGATGGATGAAACTTGTTTCCACATGTGTGTGAGCTTTTGTTCAAGCCCCTCAAGGGTTTCAATTCGACTGCAGCCAATGGAACCACAGTTAGTCCAAAAACAGACAAGCGCACCAGCCTGGACCCATTAGCCAACAAAACATCTGATAGTTGTTCTCTTGGTTGCAACCCTGATAGGACCTAGCAGGGTCAGCCGCAGCTCCAGCAGCTATTTTTTTCCGTCCAAATACAGGTATCGGTATTGCATCAGCCCTGCTGTGCGCAATGCTTGCAGGGCCTGAGTTGCTGAGCTTTGCCAGCACCCCTTCGTCTAATATGCTGACAGTTGGCTGTACAGTGGTACACATCAGAGCCTTGAAAGTGGAGTACATACGCTGATGCAGCCAGATGAACCGCAGAATCAAAATCATCATGCTTTTTGCTGTGTGCTCCTGTTGGCAGATCGTTGTCACATGGGCTGAGCCCTGAATCTTGCAAACACGTGCAGGGCCCTTTCGAAGGGTTTCTGCCATTACCAGGTTTGCTACAGGAAGCAGCTGAAGAATGGCAACAAAGTAGAACCCCAATCCCAATTACAAAGCCACAGTTCAAGAGGAATGACAAAGCTAAGCCGAGCAAGAGCCAGTCTCCCATTGCAAGCTGCAACATGGCAAAGAGGCACAGCGGGCAAAACAGAAAGCAGGAAGTCACAACAAGAAAGGCCGGCGTCCTGAAGCCAAAAGAAACATGGAAAGCGAAGAGCTGCGCCTGGGAAAAACTGCCACCAGCCACCAGCTGACTGGGTAAACTAAAGCCTTGAATTGTGACCAGCTCCAATTGCACTAGGCTCAGGTCAAACCGCCTATGGGCCCATGGCCTGTGGCCTGTCGCACCATATTGGACTAGATAGCGCTGCCACCTAGTTCATTGTTCAGAACAAGCTTATACAGTAGTTATAAGTTTAAAACGTTAGAGTTTAAAACCTCAATCTGACTCAATCTATTTTTCTAGGTCCACCAGAAACTGCTCCCACCCATGCAGTGGACCCTGGCACAGACCTTCAAGCCTACTGCCTCTGCAGTTTTTGCAGCCAGTTCGAGCCTGAGGACCCCTACCCTTACATACTTCAGCCAGCAGAGGAGGTTCGGCTAAGCCTCGCCCAGCCGCAAGACCTGCCGCATTTTTTCACACTAGCTAGGCTCAAAGTCAAGTCAACAGTGAAACTTCTTGAAGCAAAGCCTCAGTTGAAGCGAACTGCGCCAGGCCAAAACCAAGGCAAAGCCTGTTTCGGTTTAAGTCTCTGAGCCTAGAAGGACGCCTAGTGCTGCAAGGGCGTTGTCTGTTTCCTCTGTAGTAGCTGCGCTGTCAGCTGGTCTAAAAAGCAAAGATGCTACTGCGCTCTGGGTAATGGCAAGCAACACTGGCAGAGCCATCGCGTTCCCAGCTAAGTCAGTCATCAGCCCCTCCGTCAACCACTTTCTGGACTGAGTAGACCGCTTGCTTGATTTGCCCTTTCTTGCGGGCTGATGAATGTCAATGTGTTCGTCAGCCACCTGTTTCAAGAAGGGCTCGACTGGAAAGCCTTGAAAGATTAGCGCCTCTCTACCTAGCATAATTCTTGGTGGTTTTGCCACTTCAACAAAGAGAATCTGGCCAGGGAGCATGGTTGGCGCCAGGTGCTTCTTAGTCTCCTGGCAGTAGCTAATTGTGTTCACCCTTCCAAGGGTTTGGGAAACGTTCCTGAATCCTGCATCAGGCGCTTGGGCTCTCGACAGTACCACAATATCCTGCTCTCTCTCTGTCAATGTTTCAAACCATGCGTTCAGCTTCAGCGCCTCGGGGTAAGGCTGCCCCCATCGCAGACCTTCATTTTCAGCAAATTTCATGTGTTGTTCGGTCCAGCTGCTGGAAGATTTTGCAGCCTTTGACGCAGCTTGGGCTCTGCTTTCCCTCCTCTCGTCCAAAAAGGCGAAGACCTCGCCTGAGGCGGAATTTAGAAGAACACGTGTGGCGCAAGGCGGGGATCTCAAACAAGATGCGACCATATGGTTGAACATGTCAAAAGACTTGGTCAGAGACCGGGCTTCTGTGTGCACCTTTGGGTTCACCTTCCTTACAAACAAGATGTACAGCCTGCGTCTTCGTGCTGGCAGCCCAAAGGCCGCAGCATCTGTCCGCACTGGCTGCCCTTTGTACCCCAGCTGTGCCATGGTCCGCATTATGACGTCTAAGTTGGATTGCTCGGTGGAACCTATTTGTTCCTCAAGCCCATCAACATTTTCATAAACAATCAAGCTTGGAGCATGGGCGGCCACATACTTGGTGAAACCTTGGTAAGTTTGGGCTGAGCCCCCCAAAGAGCTTTCTTGATGAAACACAAGTTTTTGCGTTTCCTTCTTTGGGTTGGCCTTACTAAAATCCTTGCACGAAGAGCCAACGACAAAAATGTCGCAACTTGGGACATCGCAAAGCTGGCCATGGCAAACGCAAGGGGCTTCTATGTCTCCTAGCTTCTGAATGTCATCGAAGAGATGGTGGGAGACGCTGCCAAAGGCACTTGAAGCAGCCTCCACATCTGAGACCAAGTCTGAGACTGGTGACTTCAAGCAGCCAACTTCCAAAACTGTTTGGATCCACATTTGCTTGTCTTTGTTGTTTTCACAGGAAAACAGGTGCGTCAACGACACTTCCAGCTGCGAATTTGTGTGTGTTTTGTAGGCTCTGGACAATGCTTCCATGACATAGAAAGCGCCTTCCGACCCACTGCAAGCTGATGCCCACGTCAAGGCCACCTTCTCTGAAGCGGCAGCCTGTTCTTCAAACAATTGCGGAAACAAGGTCTTGAAGCCCTCCAAGTTTTCTTCCGCAAACTCATACACAGCATCCCCACAAACAAGGCTTTCTGGATCTGCCACACGGCTGGAAGCCTGCCTGACCAATTCAACATTCAGCAGCACTTCAGGTTCCGAGGTACAAGAATCGGTTTTCGCCAAAACCCTCGAAAAGGCCATGGCCCGGTGTGCTGGAGAAAGACAAGGGTAAGGGCAGAATTGTAACAGCTAGGGACATACGGCTGACAAACCATGATGAATTTCACAAAAGTGCACGTTGCCGCGTTGCCTATCCTATCCTATTATAACCATGGGCCATGGCCATAGGTTAGGACTACCTGTTATGTTGTCAACATGGCCACAGCATGCACACTGCAGTGCATGTCACCAGGCACAAGAGCCAAAGATGGCTCCAGTAGGCAACCTTAGACAGCAGAAAGTTCAAAAGCTTGGTAACCCACCAAAAACAGCGACTCCGAGACAAGTGCACAACCGGTTTGAAACAACTTACTGACCCAATGTTGGTCCTACAATGACCTAGAAGCAAGCTAGCGAACAAGCTGTCAGGGTTGGCGTTCAGAAAGTGAAGTAGCAATTGGCAATAGCAGTGCAGCGACTGGCAGCCTGCAACGTGCCTTTTTTCCCAAGTCAAAACACGCTGCAGGCTGCAGGCTGGCTTTGGGTCAGTTGACCTAGCGCTTGCCTCTTCCTCTGCCCCTGCCCTTCCCTTTGGTGGCCACCTCCTGTGATGCAGCTTCTTCGTTTGTGCGGCGCTTCTTAGGCGCAGGTTCTGGCGCCTCGTCTGCACTTGCTTCCTTTTCTTTCTTTTTCTCCTTCTTCTCCTTCTTGTGTTCCTTGTCCTTG